CAAGGTAATCTGTGAGGACAATCTTAAGTATATAAAATATGAGGAAATGTTCTTAATTACTTTTCTCTTTCTTATTCTTTTTATTTTTTCTTCTATTCTTCTTTTTATTTGATTTATTCTAATTCTTTTTATTTTTATTCTTTTTTCATTTAAATTAATTGTTATTTTTATATTTCTGTTTATTTTTTTATTTCTTCTTATTTTTGAACTTCAATCTTTCTTTCTTCCTCTTAAATTTCATTCATTATTATTTAAAATGGTTTAAATTATTCAAGATACTTTTCTTATTTTTATGCTAAAACTTATAGTTTTTATTAAACATATTCCTTTCTTTATTTTTAATCAATAATTTAAATTTTATTATTGTCTCCTAAAGCTGTTGTTAATTCAAATTCTAATTATTCTCTAAAATCATTCCAAGATTATTAAACTTAATCAATTTTTGATGTAAGATACTTTTCAGTTTCATTAATAATATATTCAACTTCAGATAGATGTTTACCTTAAATAAAACTTAAACTTTCTGTAAGTTCTTCTTATGTCATGTCAAATATATTTTTGTTACTTAAATAATTAACTCTATTTTAAAGATCTCTTTCTAATGGTTACCATGATAATTCTTCATCAATTGATTTTATTACATTATCTTCTATCTATTATAATCTTTCTTAAACATTTATTCTTAATTTTCCAAAAAATGTTTTTACTTAAGTTATTTTATCAGGAACTCGCATAATTTAATTACAGAGATTATCAAACTAAGTAATAATCATATATTGTATATACTTATTATCTTCTATCATCAAATATTTTACAAAATGTTTATATTTCCATATTTTAAGATGCATGATTACCATGTTATTCAATTTAACAATAAGAACAACCTAATCTATTATCTGCTTCACAATTTGGATATTAACAAATAAAAACCATTTTATTCTTCTCATGAGAAGTTTTAGTACAAATTGCTTCCATTTTAAGTCCTAACATTTTAATGATCGAACGTTCATGCATTGATTGAAGTTATTACTTTGATATTATTTAAGAGGGTCTTTTTTATAGAGTTCTAGTTGGTGAAGGTGGATATGGAAATGTTTTAGAGCTTAATATTAAAATATAACATACCTAACAGACTAACAATGTCCAACAGGACTATTAGAACTACGAAATGATTATTATGATTTTGACATTTCTAATTACATTTGACTACCAGTCATCTAGTCTTAAGTTTTATTTGCTATCTTTTTAGGACTTGATGAATTTTATGAATTCAATGAGCTTCTTCTTAGATATTGCGGTGTTTTAGCATATTTAAGTTAGGATTTTTGCATATTAATTTAATTTGCGGTCGATTTGAGATGAAACAAACAAAAGAAGAAAGTGTTAAATTGTATTTAGACTTCTATGATAAATATACTTGGCCTCTAGAGATTGCTGAAACTTTACTAGAAGTCAGATAATATCTTACAGAATCCACAATATTGTCCCTCTTTCAAAATTTCTATTTTTCACATAAAGGTTAGCGAATCAATGAATACAGTGAATTCTCTATACCAGATGGAGGAAAGTTGCAAGTTTTATTAGGTATAGGAATCAATAATCATATAGATGAATTTAATGAAAGAACATCTAGATTCCATTTAAGAAGAGTATAAGAAATGATTGCCAATCTATCACATTATCAATATCTTTGCAAAGGCAAAAATTAAAATGAAGATTCATTATCACTAAAAGAAATAGGTGATTTGTAATTAAATGATATCCTTTAACCAGCTATTAAATCAAATTTACTCTTAATTGATGACAATAAGCCTATTAAATAGAACGTGTAGTAATTGGGATTGTCATCTTTCAATCCACCTCCTCTTTCAAGAAAATTAAAGGGTAATGGAGAAAACAATTATTAGGTGATCTCTTTTATATTGTCCTTAAAACCATTGAATCAGTTGAACTTATTATAACAGCCTCGAATTTAGGGTTTTATGTCAATAGTTCTTAAGGACGAACTTTTGAGCCAACCCAAAAAAGTGATTGCTATTACAATCTTATAGATTTGATTGTGGATCATAGTCCATCATTTAAGTAAAATGATGCATTTACATAAATTTAGAAAGGAATTAATTAATGCTATTCCAGAGTAATAATAATCTGCATTACCAGCTACAATTAAATATAATCATAAATGGTTATCAGTACCAGAAAATCCTTTGACTTTAGATCATTAAAGAAGTGAGAGTTGGGCTTTAGATTTACATGGATTTGATGTTTCAAGTTTAAGAGATTGGAATGAAGAATTATAAGTATTTAGATCATTGCCAAAAATTGATTTAATTTAAAAATTGAATAGAGATAAAGCATTATCAAAGGTTTATGGAGATTTTGTAGAGGCTGCAGTTAGAGGAGCATGTGCTGTTGTTGATAAAATTATTTAACCTTTGAATCCAATGGATATAGAATGTTAATAAGTTTACGTTTATAATCAGATATTCTTTAGTTTTGCAATGGAAACACCAGAAGATTTTAGAGTATTTAAATGTATTATAAATTAAAGTAAGAAAGTGGTCCTGATGCTACACCAACAGTTTCAACAACAAATTGTGATTTTAGAAATTTATAGATTTTACACAAATTAGATATTCCTGGATTAAGTGTTTTGAATACATGTTTAGTTGATTATAAAGGAAGAAGAGTTATTGCATAATCAATAATACCAGGAATTCTAAATAGTGATCATAGTAATTGTACATAATATGGTTCAATTGATGATGGAAAAACCATTTAAAAATCTGAAGAATTTCATAAAGTAATGTCAAAAACATGTGAATTCTTTCATCTTGATACTGATATTGTATTTCTTGATAGCAATTAATAAAAGTATTCTATGGCTGGAAGCATAGAAGTAAAAGGTATTATGGGATCAGATAAAAGAATGTATTTGCTTGATCTTTTAAGATTATCTCCTAGAGATTATAATTATTAAGGAGAAAATAATTAATGTTGTGTTTTAAGATATGAATTACTTTAAAATTATTGGGTTGTTAACACTATTTAAAAAATAAAATAAAATAATAGTGATGATCCAAAAACATAATAAGAAGCATATTAAAACATATAAAATTTATTAATTGGAAATCCAAAAGAAGGATTAAAATTAAATCCAGCATTAGGCACTAAAACAATATTATAATAATCAGAAAAATTAACATAATAAGAAGAGGATTTAAAAAAGTTATCATAATTTTTGTTAAATTAAGCTATTCCTTAATTAATTTAAGAATTATCTTAACCAGAAACAACAAGACATTCTGATCTTAGTATTTCAGATATTTTTCATTCTCATGGTGTAAATATGAGATATCTTGGAAAAGTAATTAGTTTTATTCGTTCAGAAGAATAACCATCATTAAGACTTACTTTGGAAAGAATAGTTTTTGCTAAGACATTGAAACACATCTTTAGAGAATCAATGAGAAAAGCACCACAAAATCAATTATCTTAAGTTTTGTGTCATCTATTAAATATAATATTCTCTAATTCAAATCCTTCAGTTAATAATACTAAATAAGAAGAGAAAAAGAAAAAGAAGAAAAATAAGAATAAAAGTACTTAAAATGGTGATAAACCCCATTTTAAATGTTTAATTTAAGTTAATAATTATTAATATCCCTCATATTAAGAAGTTTGGGATTAAATCAATTAGATTGCATAAGCTAGATATTAACATAAAATAGATTCATCTATATTAAATAAAAAAGGATTCCATAAATTATCCTGTTTAAGAGAATTATGTTAATAAATTGGATTATAGTTAGTTGCTAGAGACTATCATGATTTCTAACCTTCAGATATAGTAGGAATCCAACCTATAATTAAATTTATTGAATAAGTTTCAGAAGATGCTAAAAATAATATAGAAATTGGTCAAAAATATATGCTTGAACATTAAAATCTTCATTAAGCTTTAGAATCTTATCTTACTGCATCTCAAATAATTCTAAATTTACATGGTTAGATGCATAAAGAATTAGCAAATTGTTATTCTAAGATTTCAGCTGTTTATTTGAGAAGATAAGAATATGATGCAGCCATACATTTTTAAAAGCAAGCTATTTAAATTTATACTACAATTTATGGTTATGATCATCCTTTAACAATTTAAGCCATTACAGCACTTTCTTTATATTATTTCTCCACTAAAAATTATAAAGAAGCATTTAATCATATGTTACATACCTTATATCTTGCAAATCTAATTGGAGGAGAAGGTTAAGAAGTATTTAATCAATATACAAATTTATCATTACTTTATTCAGAAAGTGGTTAACATTAGAGTGCATTAAATTGTTTATTTGAAGGATTAGAAAAGTGTGAATCTTTATTTAAATCATTTTAAGGAACAGAAACATAATAATATAAATTAAGAGTATCTGGATACTATTCTGCAATTGCTTTAGAACATGGTGAAATTGGTGATTTCTAAAAAGCAGTAGAATTCTAAGAAAGAGCTTCTGAATTATTAAAAAGAGTAATTATTATTTATTATATATAGACCCTTAAACCAGAAGATACAAGAGTAAAGGAAGCAGATGCTTTATTAACTAATTTAAAAAAGGCTTTAAATGAAAAAAGAAAAGACACTCAATAATCAAATTTAGGTATTTAAATATATTTAATTATTAATTAGATAGTAGAAGATAATTTGGTACTAATCGTAATTAATAATAAAAAACTGAATAGTAAGTTTAATAAATGCCAGATGAAACATATATAGAAAGTGATAAAGTAATTATAATCTAAAATTTAATAGGAAAGAGAAGCTTTATTATAAAAATTAAGAGCAGCCAAATAAGGCATGAAATTCAAGAATAAGAATCAAATGGATATAAATCGATACATTCTTGCCTAATAACTTTATAGACAATAATAGTAATAATAAAAAGAATGAATGATAACTGTGATTATTATGTATTTGTTTAATTTTATTTATTAATTATAATCACTCATGCTATTGGATTTTAATATAAATTAGTTGGTACTTTAGGACTCTTAAAATATATTTAATAAAAATTAATTTTTCTTAAGAATTACATCAATGGTATAATTAAATCAGAATGTAATTTATAACTAATATGATCCATATCTTCAGCTAAATGTAAAATACATATTTCTGCAGAACAATTTTCTATTTATTCTTTATTCTTTTACCTTTTAATTTTTATGCTTATGAATGAGGTATCATATCATCTTTCTTTCCATGCAAAATAAAAGTTGGAGATGTGACATCATTTATATTTACTAAATTGTTAAATCTTTATCTAATCAAATGTTAAACCCATGTTCCAACAAATCTAACATAATCTCTAACAGCATCCTTCAAAGAAGTAAATGGAGACATTAAAACTAAACAACCAGGCTTATGTTTGCTTGCTAAATAGGTTGCAGGACCAGATCCTATTGATCTTCCAAAGATCATTATAGATTTTTCTTCATAACCTATTTTTTTAGTCAAATAGTTATAAACGTAATCAGCATCATTTTATATAGCTTCAGCAGAAGTTTAAACTTGATTGTATTTTCCATACCCTGGATATTCTACTGCCAAAACTGAAATCTTTTCTTACTATGAGATAGTGATACTTACAAAACATTACGAAGATGTATCAAAAATGTATATGATTAACTGATATCTTCAGCATTCCCATGAAAATACACAACAATATTTGATGAATTTTCATATTTGATAAGCAAACAAGGAATGTATCCAATAATGTTTCCATCTCTTTTGCTGGTTTTTTTCTATTATATGATTGTGTCCTATTTTTTATTGAATTAAAGAAAATGAGGAGAACTTCTACTTGTAGTTTCTCTTTTTTTAGCCCGTGTGAACTTATTTTATTAAATACTGCTAATTTTTGTCTTCCCAATGTTGTAAACAGATTCCTAATTTAATTTTGATAATTTGTCCTATAAATCCTCTTCATAATCAACAATATCAAATTCTGGTGATCCTATTTCTTTTTCTTCAAACTCAAAATTTTCAACTAAATTTTATTTATTAGAATGAACCCGATGTATATTTGGGAATTAAGGTATTGGTTGTTTTTGAAATTCTCTATCACTTTTATAAATTCATACTATTGATCATCAATTAAAGATAATTATTCTTCTTCTACTTGTTGAGTTGACTATTTGACAAATATAACCATATTTTTCTTTGTTTTTCTTTTAACATAATTCTAAAAATTTGGATAAAGTGCTGAATGTTTTGGTATCCATAATATTCTACCTTCATCAAAATACCCAATATCTAAAGTCTCTTTAGGAGCAGGAAAAAAAATGAAATCTAGGTCCATTTAGTTATTTAAAAAAAAATTAAACATTTAAACGGACCTTATTAATTATGTAAGCACCCTGATTTGACTTTTAAATGAGATTTAAAAAACCATATGTCTTATGAATAATATTCAAATATATTGAAATGAATTGTTTGCATTTGTTATTGAATACTTGAATAATTTAATAAGTATTTTATGATGAGATTATGATGAATCCTTTTAAATACATCATTTTAAATCTTTGAACTAAAAAGAGATTTAAAACATAAGAATATTATGATGTTGAGAAGGCTTTGAATTGTAATTTGTATTAGAAATTAAAAAAATAAAATTAAATAAAAATTGAGGAAAGGATAATTAATAAAAAAAAGCCTTAAGAAACCCAATAAAAATATAAAAGTTTAATTTATGGTAATTTTGATTTAAGGATTAATCAATTTTATGCACTTTTATGTTTATATCAAAACAAAAAATGAATTATAATTTAATAATATTTCTTAACAATGAATATTTTATTATTATTGTTTATTTTCATTAAGTTTATATAATCAATATGTAACATAATTCAAAACTCTTTTAATATTGGTTATTTGATAAAAATTTATTATAAAAGCTTTAGAATTTCTAATAAATATAAATTAGCATTATTTACCAATTTTTTAGAATTCATTATAAAAGTAATCATTCTAATCCAATGATTTAATTAATTAAAGTGAATCCAAATGATTTGGACATTGAAAATGTAATATGAGTTAGATAAGTTATGTATCATATTGTTAAATCTGAGATTTCTAAATTTTAAGATCACTCTTATTGCAACTCAACCGGAACTCTAGTAATGTTTAAATTAAAAATAGCATGATAAATAAACTATGGCTAAAAATATTGGTACTTAAAACATTACAGAAAATAATTTATTATAACATAAGGAGAGAATTTAGAACTGTTTTATTGTTTTGTGGGTAGATGTGATTAGGTTAAAATATCCTTTTTCTTGAATTAGGGTTAAACTATAAATATCATGAATGACTTTTAAGTTAAAATTCATTATGCCGATGATATAAAATAAGCAATGATTAATCTATACCAACTGTTATTATATTCATATCTATATTATAATGAATTCTCTACCCGAAATATTAGATCAATTAACAATATTTTATGTTAGAGATAGAATAATACATTTCAAAGAAAATCATGATTTTTTATTTAACAATTAAATAAGAGGTTTAAAATATGTTCAAGTTTAAGCAGCAATTTATTTAGCTGTTTTTATTGATTTAAATGTTTTACAAGTTAAAAATGATACAAAAAATTACTTAAAAAATTTGATATAATTTAACTTGGAATAGCACTAATTAGTATTTAGGTCTTAGTATGGTTACCTTAGTTACTAAAGATGTTTATATTGAAATGATTGTGATATTGAATGAGTTTGTAAACAGATAGTGATTTTATTATAATTTATATTCAGGGTTGATAAATATTATCTTGTTATTAAAATTTTTATTAAATGGGGAAAGACAAAAAGAAGAGTAGAAGTAGAAGCAAATCTGGTAAAAAGAAAGAGAAGAAAGAAAAGAAGGAAAAGAAATCAAAAGCAAAGAAAGATTCAATAAAGAAGGAGTCCATTAAAAAAAAAGAATCTTTAAAAAAGGAATCTCAAAAGAAAAATAAAAAGTAAAAAGAATCAAAAAAAAAGGATAATAAGAGTAGAAAGAAAAGTCAAAGTCCATCCCCAATGAATGCTTAAAAAAAATAGGCCTAGGATGAATAGAAGTTGAAGGAGGGTGAATAGAAGCGATTATCAAGATTAATGAAAGCAAAACTAATTAAATTTTAGAATTCAGATGATGATGATGATGATGATAAAAAAGAATTTGTTTATAAAGATCCTGAAGTAATTGAACCAATTTTACCACCAGATGAATAATTAATTTATGATTGGTCATAAAGAAATTAAGAAAAATAAATATAAGATGCATTAAAAAAATGTAGATTGGTTGGAGAGAAATTATTTTATGATTCTGATGGAATTGAAGAGGATGATAATCCAGATGAATAATTTTAAGATGAAAATTGTACAGATAATAAATAAGATACAAAAATGTAAGAAGAATATGATTAGGAAATATAAAAATAAAATGAAAAGGTAGATAAAGAATAATAATAAAGATTTTTAATAGAGAAAAAAACATTAAATAATGATAGTGATAGTGATAGTGAAGATGAAGTTGCATCTAATGCTAAATTATTTACAAAAAATTTATTATCTATTTCAAAATTGAAAGAATTGCAATTATAACCTTAATAATAATTTTAAAGATAATAATAAGCAAAACGTAGATGGAGAGAAGAATAAATTGATGATTAAGAAGAAGATCCACTTGAAGCATTTATGAGATAAGTTGAATGTAAAATATATATTTAATTTTTAAGGTGAAGCAACATAATAAGCAGATGAAGATGAAAAAAGAAGAAAGGAAGAAGAAGAAAAAGAGAAAAAAAGAAAGTAAGCCATTGAAGAAGAATTAAGAAAGTTAAATGCATAAAAAGTAATTACTTATGAAGATATCATACAAAATAATATTAATTAAAGTAATTAAAAAAATAATAATAATGGAATGGATATTGAATCAATTTAGGAAATTTAAAATTAATAAAAGGAATTGGAGTAATAAATTATTGAGGATGATGAAGAAGATAATAAATTTTATGAATAATTTATGAAAGAATTAAAGAGGAAAGAATTAGAAGAGAAAATGAGATAAAGAGAAGATGAAGATGAAGCTGAAGATGTTGATTTAGAATAATAATAAATGTTAGCTTTATTGGAAGAAGAACCTGATATATTTGACAAATAGAAGAAATTAGAAAAGAAAGAATTAAAACCAGTTGATCATTCTACTATTGATTATTAACCATTCAGAAAAGATTTTTATAGAGAAGTAAGTGAATTAGAATAAATGACAGCAGAAGAAGCCAAAAAATTAAGATAATAACTAGGTGATATTAAAGTGAGAGGAAAGGATGTACCTAAACCAATATAAAATTGGTATCAATGTGGATTAAATGATAGAATATTAAATATATTAATTGAGAAAAAGAAATTCATAAATCCATTTCCGATTTAATCTCAAGTAGGAATTATTAATGTATAATTTTTAGGCTATTTCATGTATTATGTCAGGTAGAGATTTTATAGGTATTGCTGAAACAGGAAGTGGAAAAACATTAGCTTATTTATTACCTCTTTTAAGACATGTTCTAGATCAACCAGCTTTAAAAGATGGAGATGGTCCTATTGCTATAATAATGGCTCCAACAAGAGAATTAGCACATTAAATTTATGTTAATTGTAGATGGTTCACTTCTATTTTAAATTTAAATGTTGTTTGCTGTGTTGGAGGAGCTGGTATTGCTGGTTAATTGAGTGATTTAAAAAGAGGAACTGAAATAGTTGTGTGTACTCCAGGACGAATGATTGATGTTTTAACTACAAGTAATGGAAAAATAACAAATTTAAGAAGGGTAACATATGTAGTAATAGATGAAGCTGATAGAATGTTCGATTTAGGTTTTGAACCATAAATATGTAAAATAATACAAAACATCAGACCAGATAGACAATTAGTCATGTTTTCAGCTACATTTCCAAAAAATGTTGAGTAATTAGCCAAAAGGTATCAATCGTATTGTATATTTAAAGAATTTTACGTAAACCAATAGAATGTATTGTAGGAGGTAGAGGATAAGCAGGTGGAAATATTGAATAAATTATAGAATTTATGGATGAATCAGATAAATTATACAAATTATTACTTTTATTCTAGGAATGGTATACAAAAGGCAGTATATTAATATTTGTGGAGAAATAGACAGAAGCAGATGATTTATTTAAGGAATTGTTGAAATATGGATATAAATCATTTGTTTTACATGGTGGTATGGATCCATAAGATAGAGAATTTACAATTCATGATTTTAAGAAAGGAATTAGAACAATAATGGTAGCAACTTCTATATTAGCAAGAGGATTAGACATCAAGCATATTTGTTTAGTCATTAATTTCAGTTGTCCAAATCATATGGAAGATTATATACATAGGATAGGAAGGACAGGAAGAGCTGGTTAAAAAGGAACAGCTATAACATTCTTTACTCCTTAAGATGAACATTTGGCTAATGATTTAGTCTATTTACTTGAGAAGAGTGAATAATAATTACCTGAAAAACTTAAAGAATATTAGAAGTCATTTATGGAAAAAGTTAAAGCAGGTGAAGCTAAAATTTATAGAAATAAAAATAGAGCTGGAGGAGGATTTACATTTGGAGCTGAGGAAGAATAAAAGTTTTAGGATTTTAGAGCATAAATGAGAAAGAAATTTGGTTTAGAAGGTTTAATGATGGATGAATAATCTTCAGATGATGAAAAAGTATTAGAAGAAATAGCTAAAGGCAAATTAAGTGAAGAGTATATTTTATATTTATCATTTTAGAGAAAGATTAAAAAAATAAGAGGAAAGAGATAGATTTGAAAGAGAGAGAATTATGTAATTAATTAAAGATCCTGCTTTGAAATCTTAAATATTATCTGAAGCTACAAAAACAGCTAATTTGTGTATAAATTCTGGAGGATCAAGAGAATAAGTAGCCAATGCAGCTATGGATGCAATTAAAAGAGTATTAAAATAGCATAGCTAAGTTAATAAATCAATTGAAGGAGGCATAGAAGAAGCAATGTAAATCATTAACGAATTTGAAGAAAGAGAGAGAAATAATCATGATTTTGTAAGTTATGATTTTGAAATTAATGATTATCCAACATAAGCTAGATTAAAAATATTAAGCAAAGAATTTTTAAATATGATTCATGAACTTACAAATTGTTAAATTTCATAAAGAGGAAGTCTTGTAGAACCAGGTAAAAAAGCATTACCTGGATAAAAGAAATTATTCTTAAGAATAGAAGGTGAAAATGAATATTTTGTAATGAGTGCTTATAAAGAAATAAAACGTATGGCATAAGATTTAACTCTCAATTAAATTCAAGATAATTATGCTGGTATTCAAACAAATTCTAAATTAATTTGAATTATAAATCATAAATAAAATTATATCACAAATATATTATTTATATCATTCTTATTTTTAGAATTATGTTAATATTTGAATAATATTAATAAATACTACAATTAGATTATCTGTTGATCTATTATAATATAAAAATACTGGCCATAAGGGTAATGATAGAAGCTTAATATTTTATATTATTATTTACATATATTTACAAGATATTAGAGAATATTAAATTCTACTGGTGGATATGTAATGTTACAATTAATGTAATTATACTTAATAAACAAACTGTAAAATTGAAATTATTTAGATGGTATTTATATTGAAAAAAATAATGCAAAAGCAAAGGCGACTAGGATACAAATAAGTCAAATATTTATTTTCCTGCAAAAGCTTATACATATATTTTAATATTGAAATTAATTTCTGTGTCAAATAAAAATATCATTAATAACATTTTGTAATACCTAATTAATTAATTGTTATACCATTTCTATGTTATAAATAATCCAACAACCACTAATATGTATCTTAAATATATCACTTGCTTTTCCTATTCAATTATAAGTAATGCAAAATATACTAAACTAATAACAATATATGTATAAATATAAATTTCTGTATCAGTTTCAAATGCATATATCAATAATGGAATATAAAAAAGTGTTAATTATTTTATACTAATAAAATAATCATTATGTTATACTTTTTGTTTTATGAATCAAATATGTAAAAACTGAAAAATAATATCAAATTATGGTAGATTCCATATTCATAATTAAGGTAATTTATGATAAATTATTCAACCAAAAAACAATAAGAATAGATTTTTTGCTCATTTATAAAATTAGGTAATATTGCTACAGTTAACATTGCTCTAATATCAAATGTTATTGAACATAATATAAATTTGATTGATGAGATGACTATTTTGAAAAAAGTTGAATTATATTCTTATTTATAATAATATTTTAAGAATGCTGTATTTAACAATTATGTAGTGTCTTTTGATAGTTAACATTCTAGTACAATTGTATTTTGGTATTGCTATATAACACAAAGTTATACAGCCAATATGAAAATATTCATATTTTTTAAGGCTTTAGGCATTTTATTTGATTACATTTTGAATTTGAATACTATGATGATTGTCAATCTACGCATTATATGATCTTCTTGGAGGAGGGATTGGTTTTTTTGGTAATCTTTTAATGATATCACTATCAATTAAATCTGTAAGGATCAAATAAGGGATGATTCCAACACTCACCATATCAAACTTCAAAATAGTTAATACCACTTAAAATGGAATGATCATCCATAAACATTTAGGAAATAATTGGTTACTATTGTTATACATACATGCATATAGACTGAATATAATTGCCATAATGCATGAGAAATAGAGTAATCCTAATTCATAGGTGAATTAAGCAAACATTCCCAAAATTATTTACCCTGGAATTGCATATAATTGTATATACATTATATTTATTAAATCACTTCTTCATTCTAATTTCTATGATTGATTAATCCTTTAAATTTTAGATATCATTTAAAGAGAAGAATTCTGGCATTATCTTTCCTTAGAAAAACAAGTCCTAAATATTATTAAATTCTTATTGCATTACAAAATCATTTCTTCCACAATCTATTTTTTCAGCTACACATTTCTTAGCCCATTCAACATCTTATCCAACTTTAAACTAACTTATTATGAAATTATAAGTTTTACCTCTAAATCATAATAGGTCTCCCCCAATTGAAATTTTAACTAGCTTATTCAATATATATATTACCTTGATGTTTTATCCAGCAAATAAATCATTTTCTTATTCAAAAGTCATTACGTTGGCATTTTTAAAATTAAGACTGAAACCCTTGGACATTTTCTATATTTATTAATATCATAATGCAATTCAAAAAGAATGTTAACAATTAAAATCAATCTTATTACTAGAAATTTATCATTTACTACAACAATAGTGATTTCATTCTAATTAAAAACCTTTCCATCTTATCAATAGCTGATTTTATTTCTTGGCAATTTTATAATTGTCTAAAAATGAATCCCTTATTTGCTTATTTAATCGCCTCATTTATAAACTATTCAAGCAACCCTTTAAGATGTAAGTTTACTTCAGGAACTTATTTTTTTATTTTGCTATTCTTCTTTATTTTTTTCTTTAGAATATATTATCCCTTTTCTACAAGTTCAAAACGATTATTTTGTTCTGTAGATTTTAAATGCTATTTAAGTTATTTCTTTTATTCGGATAATTCATAAGCAGAGTCTATATACTATGTTTTCCAATTAAATTATTCCTTGACACATTCACTATCTCCATCATCAATACCAATTAAGTAATTTTTCATCTTTCAATTTTAAACTTTATTTTATATTAAATTAGAACCTTAAAACTCTTTGTTATTTATTTCAACATATAAATGTAATATCAAGAAAAAATATTTTTTTTATGTATGAAACAATTTAATAAATTATGACAAATTCAAAAAATATTACTAAGTTTATTTATTTTCTTTACTTATATTTTACATTAAATTTATTGATAATTTATGATAAAATATTTGAAAGAATGAAGCATTATATCGTATTATATGATCTAATCTGTAAATCTTTACTTAACATAATTAATTAAATACTCTTAATCTCTTTGAATAATTATTATGAATAGGTTTTAATTAAATACTTAACATTAACTATCTTATATATTAATATTGTCTTTCTTCATTAGATATTTTTGAATAATTATTTTTCTATGCTTTTTAATTGAATGTCTATTCTAAATCATTCTCATTTTATAAATAAGACTTTTTTCTTTCACATAAAATTTATATTGTAGGTGACTATTTAAAATTTACCAAGATTTGTTAAGAAATCTATCATGAAATTAAGCAATTTAAAATTTATTATATTGAATAGAAATTAAATTCTTCTATTTAATTTTGAAGCAAGAAATTAGAACACTTTTTAGTTTTATTAAATATCACTTTCACAAAACTTAAAGTAAGAAATTTCTTTAAAAATTAACTTGCTTTAATAATTATGGAAATTACAATTTTTTTTGTTGTTATTCCTAATATATGTCTACTTGAAAAATTGTATATATGGAATTGATTTAAATATATACTTTTTATAAAATAATATTATATACTTTAATTATTTATTTAATAATTATGTAAATATATATTTGATGAATATATTGAGTATGATTGATTTATAATAATATTAGTTTGATATTAATAAATATATTGATATTTTGTAATCACTAATAAAGTCATCATATATTATTTTTAATTTTCTATTTTCTAATAAAATTATATTTCTTTTTATCTCAAAAAAGATTGTGGGATTCCAGCAATGTAAATACTTACTGGGCTCAATCTTTATGAAATATAATCTTCCCAATTAAAGTTACAATATTCTTACTATAAACTTTATTTTTTATAGAGGTTTATGATTGTTAGATTATATTGAAAGAATAATTACTTTGATATATATTAAAATATATATGGATCAATTAGATATAAAATTATTCAACAATAATATTATATTTTCTCTAAAAATATTATATTAAGAAAGAAGTTGAACTCAAGATTATTGTTTGGATAAATCAATTATTCTAAATTATACAATTCATAGAGAATTTGAAATTAGAAATTTATGATAAGTTCAGTCTTTATTTTATTAATAATTATTTTAACGAATAGAAATGAGTTTTTAATCAATTTCATCTTCAGATTTATCAGATTCAGATGAAATGACTTTCATAAAAACTGATTAAGAAAGAATTTTAAAAAATTCAAACATATTAAAGCATGATAATAATGAAAGTAACAGTTGTTAAAGGCATCCAAATAAAAAAGTAATTATTTATTAATATTTAGGCAAAATTTTATGTATAACAAAATAGTAGTTAATTATTTTGTTCAAAATGTGCTTTAAATTTAGCTTTGTAAGGCCTTTAGATAGAGGAAACATAAGAAGTATATTTGGAAATATAAAGGAAAGATAAAATAAATAACTTTTAGAAAGATTTACATCAAGCTCTTTAATAATGTGATTAAAAATTAGTTAACTTGAATGATATTAAAGATAAATTAATAAGATAATGGGAAGAATAGAATATGAATTGCGAAGAATTTTTTAATGTAGTTCAAAAAACAACTAATTAATTAAGATAAACTTACTATTAGAAGTTCTAAAATGATTATACTACTTCATAAAATCAAGTTTAAGAATAAGTAGATAATATAAAATAAATAATACAATAATTGAAATAATTTTCTATTGATATATTTACAAATCATGATAACATAGTTAAAAAAATGGAAATGAAACCTTTTGATGAGATTATGCAAAAATATTAAAAAAAAGTAGATGAAATCAAATGTTAATCATTTAATAGTCAATTTTAAATATCTTTAAAGTAACTAAATATTGATTAAAATTAAATTCTAACATTTATGAATAAAATGTGTTATAATTTGCTAATAAAAAATGATAGTATGGAATATAATTAAAAGACAATGACTAGTTAATAAAATTTTGAATGCAATTTGTCTAATAATTAAAATTATATTGACATAATTGAAAATGAGGAAATTCATAGTCCCATATCTATTATGAATTAAATACAACTATAATCTCCAATTCGTTAATAATTTAATAAATTTGATTCAATTAATTCAAATCCTGTAAGAAGTAATGCAAATACACCTGAAAGTTGGAAATAAAAGCCTAGTTTAAGAAGAGATAACATAACACCAAATGATAAAATATCCTATTAAAATAGTTCTCGTGTTTTAGAGTAAGTTAGTTCAAAAAAAGCTCTTTAAAAATAATTAATTGATAAATACTCTTATTAATGTAATGAAAAATAAAAAACTACAACTGATTATGAAAGAATTAGTGAAAAATCTTGTTCAATATTAAATAACAATCTTAGTTGTTTTTAAATATAAAAATTTATAAAAGAAGCTGAAAGAGGTAGTCTTGAAGACAGAGAATTGACACCAAAATAAAAAGTGATTACTGCTAGTAAATCTATTATGTATGGTTAAAATTATAATAATCAAATTAAGAATCATTCGAATTAAAAATGTATTGATATGATTTTTAAATTTAGCTTAGTAAAATCTGATATAAAATTATCTCCATAAATAACAATATGGTTCGGTTCCAAATTTAAAATCAGTTTCTCATTAACAAAAACAAAATGATACTGTATAATTACATCGTCAACAAGAAGGACATTTAAGGTCTAAATCAAAATAAATTAAACCTCAATCTATAGAATAAGATAGTAAAAAATAATTTATTATTAATGCTGGAGTTAATTCAGTATCCTTACCTTAAAATGAAGATACTTTAAAAGATAAAATATTAAAAGAGTTATGTAGTCATCCCAGTGAATCAATTTATGGTCAAGTATTAAAAAATCATTAATAAAAATAAAAAAATAACAAACCAACCAGCAAAGAAAATTTTGAATGGACTTCTTAGAAAAATAGAACAATAGGATAAAATACAAATAAGAAATTATAATGATTTATGTATTTCAAATAAATCTCCAAGTATTTTTTTTTGTTAATCTTATATTTTAATAATCTTTAATTAATTTTTATGATAATATATTGATTTCTAATTTTTTTTTTCTAATATTTTAATAAAATTAAAATCATCATGTTTCTTATAGGTAAATCATTAATTCTTTGTATATAAGTTAATTTAATAAGCCAATTTGAAATAAAGAAGAATTTCATTAACTAAATAATGATATATTTTCCACAAAACCCTTTTGTAATATTGAAATCTTTGCATTTATTAATTAATTCATTATAAATGAAAAGTGAGAGAATAATTTATAAACTACCTTCTTTCATTTAAGAGTTAATAGTCGATATATATAGTAAATAAATTTGTAATTCGAATGAAAAAGATCAAATCAATATTTTAATTTATTTAATATTAAATAATAAAAGGATATTGGAATATATATAAATCTATTTATTTCCAAGATAAATGAAAAGTATATATGAGATCAAATGCCTAAAAAATATATTAATAACATATTGTAGAAATGAAATAGGAGGCTCTGAGCAATTCAGTAGCTCAGATAAGTGGAAATTCATAATAAACTTAAATACTAGATGAAATAGAAAAATATAATTGTTATTGGAAACAAGAAATCATTTTGAGTGATTGTGAAGAATAATTTGTTTAAATTGCATCTGATGATGAAAGAGATTGTGCTGCTATGATAAACTTTGGAAAAGCACTTAATATTCAATAAACTGATATTACATAAATAACAGAAATCTTAAACTATTTAGATACTCCTTAATTAAAGATGACTTCTTTATAAAGTCCATAAAATGTTTTGAACTATTTTCTACCTAGTAGTTTTGTATCTACACTTACAGAAATGATTAATCACTATCTTTTGATGGTTTTATAAGAAGATCTTAAATAATAGTAATAATAAACTCAATAAATTTACCATAAGAAGAAATACAAAGAAGCTGAAATTTAATTTTATTTAGGTTTGCAAATTTTATTTGGAGTTTATAGATTTCCATAATTGGATGATTATTGGAATGCTGAATCTTGGTTAAAAGGAGGAGTTGAAGTTACTATGCCAATAGGTAGATTTAAGTTTGTAGATCTTCATATTTTTTCATACTTTGATGAGTTGTAAAGAGCAAAATTATAATTGGAAGTAAGAAAGTTTTCTAAGAAATTAAAAGCACTTTATAATCCTGATTAAGAATTAATAGTTGTAGAATAGAATTAGAAAGCATATAAAACATATTATATATTTGACTATGATAGTTCATAAATTATAGATTTATTGGTTGTTTGTAATAATGTAAAATATGAAGACAGAATTAATAGGGTAATGAGAATGCTTTATAAATATTCAAATCAAAATCATGTTACATACATAATGTTTGATCTGAGTTTAGATAGGATAATTTAATTAGTGGATTAATCAATATATCCAGTTATTCGTTATTAAAATATCAATCATAATTTGATTTAAATGCTCTAGGATGGAGATTATGAATTAGATTAATTGTTTTTAATTAAATAAGGAACATAAGTTGATATTTTCCCATAAAGACGTTTAATATCGAATAGACATTATATGACTTCTTATGAAAAAATAAAAGATTAATTGCAAGAACATATAATAAATCTTTAGTAATTTCGAAGTAACTTTTATTAATCATCATAATTAAATAATACTGAAAGTTTTCATTAATTAAGAGTTGAATTCGAAGAATATTTCGAAATTATGATTCATAATACATTTTTACTAATTCAACAAACATCACAATCTTAATTCAGACATGATTTAGCTAAAGTCTTATTAAATGAAAAGGGATAATAAATTGAAAGAGATCGTAATGAAGCCAAACGTAAACTAAATGTTACATACAAAGAAAATTATTCAAATACAGATCATTTGTCCTTTGGATTATAAAAACAATATGCTGATCAATTTCATACTCCAATACCTTAAAAATAAGAAGATACTTTTAAATATTGTTTAGTATGTATGAAATTTGATGGTTTGACCAAACCATACTATAGATGTTAATTATGTGAAAAATTATTAAATGTCAATAAGATTTTCTTATGTCCTTTTCCTTGTTTTGAATTATTTCATAGAAATCCTAGTGATTTCATAGATTGTGATATGAAAATTTTAGAACCTCTTGGAGATGGAATATATTTTAAAAATGAATCCACTATGTAACTAGTTAATAATGGATAAGAAGAAGATGCAAGTGGGAAAAAAAGAAAATATAATAAACCTCCACCTAGAACCTATTGGTCATTTAATAAAGAGATTTATAGATAAGCAAATATTAATGATGATTAAAATTTGAATGATATTTTAAATACTTTTAAAAAACCATAGGTACCTGCACCTTCACCTAGTTTGTTACAATCTATTGTTCCATAAGAATAGTAATAATAGACATTAACTTTGGGACATAAAAAGGATATGAAAGATATTGATCATCTCTTAAATTAAGAAAAAGAGTAAAAAGATAAACTAATAAAGGAAATGTAAGAAAGAGACAAACAATTATAAGAGTAATATTTTTAACAGCAATATGAGAAATAATTGTAAAAAGAATAAGAAACTAAAAAAAGCAAAAAGGCATAGAAGGAAAGTGAAAAGAAGAAACAATTAGAAGAATAACTTAAGAATGTTAGTCCTTTGGAAAAATTCATGGAACAAATAAATAAAAGAGCAAAAGTAGAGGATATTGAATGATAAATTAGATTTATTGGCAAATTATATTATATATATATAATTAGATTTAGTATTATTTAAGAAATACTGAATTTTGCATATAATATTATCATCTATTGTAGAATAGACCTCCATAATTTCTAGAATATCCATTAGTAGTGCTTTTACTATGATAATCATTCAAAACATAATTGCTTTTTTTAAATCCTTATTACACAGCTACTGTAGGATCATATTATTTCAATAAGCCTAATTCTTTTAATTTATAAACATTTTTTTCTAGTAGTTTATTGTTTATGATCAAATTTGCATCTTCTAAGATTGAATCCAATATATCTCCTTATTTTCTATTTAAATAGCTTCTGCTAGATTGATTCTCAACAATTAAGGTTTCCTTTAACTTCTTGATTGCAGGGTTTGAATTAGCCATAGAACAAGATCTTCGATTATTTATTTATAAATAAGGCAGTTTCTCTTAGGAAGATTGCATTAAATTAATTATTCAAAATCATTTCACTTAGACAGGTTTAAAATATAATGCAGTTGCCCTCTTTTTTTTCTTATGATGTTCTGCCTCTTTCTATGGACTTACAAGTTGATTATCTCTTAAGATATACTGACGATATTTCCTTAAATATTATTATCTTTAATTATTACTTTATAAATTCGTAAGGAAACGTTAGAAAAAGACTTAATTACTTCCACTATTCAAAGAATTTTAAGTTAATTTTTGTTGTTTTAAATAACCAAGCAGAGTTAAATTGTGGATAATAATACTTGAAATTTTTAATGCAATCTATTTCTAAATTAGCCCTTTAATTCAATTTTAATTTTAAGTCTTCTAACAATACTTTATCACTTTCTCTTAATCCATCATCATCAAATTCTCTAAGAGTATGTAATTCTAAAACTTAATTAATTTAATTTGGAGGATGTAATTTTTATCTTATTTATTTTATATTTAAGGCTTATCTATTAGAAAACTATCTTCTTGTTACACTTTACATTTATTAAAAGTAGTTTTAATGAGAAGCTTTCCATGATTCTTTCAATTCAAATTCAGAAGAATCTGATGATTCTATTGTTGGAATAGTTAATTAAATCTTATCCAAATTATCATTTTATTTAAGTTCTTTAAAAATGGCTCTTCTTTTTCTTTCAAATTTTCTTTTATAAGATTTTCTATTTTATAATAAAGGATATTAATGTTTCTTAATTACTGAATCTTTGTCTGGATTAAATGTAAGTAAAGGACATTATTGAATAGTATGTTAAAGACTTTTACATGAGTAACAATCCATACCAAAATATGATTTATCAAATATAAGTTACTCTTTCAATTGACAATATTATTCATGATCTTCTGAATATTATGAAAGAACTTTCATAAAGTCTTTTTTTGTAATGAATACCAATTTACTAAAAGCAACAGAAGTGTACCTTAAGGATGGAATATCATCAAGCATAAATTCTCTTAATCCAAAATTATCCCCTGCTTAGAGTGTGGCTAATCTCAATCTATTATTTCTAAAATATGTTCCAATAGATCCTCTTTCTATGAAGAATAAACAAGGTTAATCAAAAGGAACAGTTTTACAAGGTGTAAGTGTCATTGATTAAACATGTTTCAAACATTCAGCCTTAAATTCATGAGAAAAATAATCATTAAATAATTTACAACCTTTGACTATAATTGAATTAGCTTCAAAGATTAGATTTTCTTAAAGGTCTTAAGATAATTAACCTATTATATCTTTAACTTCTAAATTTTCTTCTAGTTTTTGTTCTTTCCAATAAAATGTTAAATATTCTCTTATTTCATATTTGAGTTAATTAGAAATATTAACACTTTTCATATAAGTATTAATAGCTCTCATTTTACGAATATGATCCTCACTTTTCTCATTCAATTTAGAATATACATTCCAAATAGCTGATACTGTATATGATAATTGTAAAGTTGAACAAACCATAAATCCTATTGTTACTAATCTTTCATATATATCTATTAGGATATTTAAATTAAATTACTTTTTGGAACAACATCTCCATATCCTACGGTAAACATTGTAACAGACGAAAAATAAAAGGCTGTAATATATTGATCAGTATAGGTGGCATCTGATAATCCATTTGCTTTTATCCACGAATCTTCAGCAATTTCTTAAATTCCAACAAAATACCAAATACAACTAAATAAATGTTCCAGTAAGAATAAAAACATCACTAGTTTAATCTATAATAATTTAATATTTTACTAGATCTATTAGTAATGAAGTAGATTCTGAATAATCTTAGCTGTTTTATAATCTTTAAAAAACTCGAATTATATTTTATAATTAAATAATAATTCCTAAGATACTGATCACACTCCTAACATAGTTATACTCCCGTAGTGACTAATGTTTATAATCAATATAACTATTTTGTTCACCAATTTCTTAAGCAAGAACTAAAACTAATGTAATAACACAAAAAATATCATAAATAAAACCATTCCTTATGTAATTTCTAGCTACTTTATAATGGTTCGTAATTAAATATCCTTTCTCATAAAAAGATGTTATGAAATTAAGTAAAATATCAAAGATTAATAAAGCAGTGGATACTTGCAATGTCCATAAAAGTTAATTGTAAAGTAGTTTGTTATTGAATGCTGTTTCATAAGGAATAGCAAACAAAAGGTAAAATCTAATAAAGGCTAGAAATATATCCCATATTAATTTGAATTCATTGTTTGGATTGATTATTGGAATAAGCTTTATTGATTTAGTTATTTTCTATGCAATTTTTGACTTCTTTATTTCTCTCCATTTTCTGGTCAATTTTCTTTTGAATCTGGCAAATTTAGATTTGTTTACTTTTCCCCATACTTATCCAGTTTTCTATGACACTTTTCAAAATAATCAATATATATCTTACTAATAACATTCTTTTCGAGAAACATCTTTTATGATGTGATAATGTATTGGAGCAAGTTATTAGTATCTTTTTTTGTTTTGAATAGCTTTGTTCTTCATTCTAAATCCATAAAACTTGGCTCTCATTGATTAAAAAGCACTATAAATTTTACAAAGTTCTCTTACTTTCCATTAGTATTGAGTTATTTAGTTAGTAATAATTTATCTTCAATCTTATAAGCCTCACTTTAATCTAACATATGGGTAGCAGTTAATATAATATTATAAAAATTGAAAAGAATCAATAATATATTTTAATTCATTGTAATAGCCAATCAACTCTTAATGGAGACTTGAGACATTTTTAAGTACCTTTTAATGTATATAATTCCGATCTTCCATCTCTTCCTTTCATATAAAATTCAACAATATAATTTTCATCAGCTCTAATTGATAAAATATCTAAAAATAATTATGATTTTGGAATATTCCTTTAATGGCCACAAAGTTATAAAGATTCCCCTTGAAATTAGCATTTAGAATATACAGTGATACATGCTAAATAAATGTATATAAATACCTCTATATTCATATTTATTATCATATTTATAAGCACTTCTATAAAAATCTCTTTGTCTTGGCTCTGTCCTTTTTATTGAAGAAGAACCATAATAATTATCTGCCTCACAATTTTCTGGATTATAGTTTGTAGATTTTGCATCACATGGATCTGAATAAATACTTAATTAATATACTATATTATACTATAATTTGCTAATAACTTCTCTGAAGAATCTTCCTAACTCTTAGTCATTTGGATTTTTTGGTATTGTAACACTCTAGCCAGTTAAAGGAGGTCCTCTTCTACCACTATACCTTCCAGAATAAACATCTTCTCTCCCATAATCGTCGTCCCTTCTCCTATAGTCTCTTCCCTAATATTCTGATTTTAAATATCTATCTCCTTTGCTATAATATTCTTCTCTACTTTTTTCCCTTTGATGAAATGTTTTTTGAAATTACTATTCCTTTTAAATTTACAATTGTTATTCTATCTCTTCTTTCAAAATTTCCTTCTCTATTTTTTATAATTATTATTGTTTTCTTAAATTTTAAGATTCCTTCATATTATTTCCTTCTTCAGTATTTGATTTTTATTTTTATTTTTTTTTTAGAATTTCGTTTTATCTTTACTTTTAATCTAATTCTGCTTTTTTACTTTAATAAATTTATTTATGTTATTATTATTATTATTATTATTATTATTATTATTATTATTATTATTATTATTATTATTATTATTATTATTATTATTATTATTATTATTATTATTATTATTATTATTATTATTATTATTATTCTTGTTACTCTTTCTCTTATTTTTCTTATAATTATTATTTATAATTATCAAATTCTTCTTTTTTTAATTGCTATTGAACTATTGAATTTTAGTTTACTACTTAATCTTCATTTTATTAAGATTCTGGATGGCTTTCTTCTGGTATTAACATTGCTTCACTAAAGTATCTTGGTTCTTCTTAATTTATGTCGAGTTCATTTTAATTTATTTCTTCCTCATCTGTAGAATATTCTAAATCATTTTAGTCAAATTAATCCTCTTAAACAGTTTATATCAATTCAGTTGGCTACTTTAATTATTTATGTATTTCTTTATACTAAATTGGCTTAACATCATAATATTTTTATTAAGCTTCACAATGATCTTCAACTAAATGTATTAGTTAATAATTTACTCTATTAAATTATAAATGTCTTTTAAATATGATCAATGAATTCTCTAAACAATTATAAACATTAAATATCTGTTAATTCATTTTAAGATGTAAATACTAAAACATAAGTTCTTCCAATAATATTTTAAATTTAATGAGTATCTAAATTATATTGAATAAACTTACAAACATTATCATTAATACTGTAAAATGCTTCTAAATTTTCATTTTGTTCATTAATTATTAAAGAATTAATACTTTATTATTTATAAGTAATTCTAAGAAGTGATCCAATATATCCCCCATGATTCATTTCTCTATTATTAATTTCAGATGAAAATAAAATAGTAAAATCATTCTAAACAACTGTTATATTATCAAACATTTCAACAAATGGAGTATCCTAAAATTAACCATTAGATTTGAATTTAATTAATTAATCAGAGTGCAAATCAAATGGAAATTTTTTAAAAAAGCTTAATGAAATATCAGAACATTTTTATTGAGCATTTTCACACACATTGTTCCTTTAGTGAATGATAAATACACAATCTTAAAATACATGTTCAATTAAATCAATTGTAGGAAATTTCATAAATTAGGAAGTAACAAATGAAAAAACAAAGACTTTTGAGTCAGTCATACCGATAGTTATATAAGCTAGATTTTCATCTTCCTTGTAATTGATTACAATCCCTTCATCACTTTCAAAAATTAGAACATGAATAAATCCTCTATTTTCTTATTAAAGTGTCACAATTAATCCACTTTAAGGATAATCTATTGTTTATTAATGAGTTTCCATATTTTTTATAGGTATTCTCAATTCAAGTACTTTATTATTTAAATTTTAAGCAACAAAAACTTAAAGTCCTGGATAATTTTTTGTAAAATATTCATTCTCTAATGACCCATTTATTATTTCATTTCCAAGATGATAATGTATTGGAGGATGATAGAGATCAGGAGTATGAAAGGTTAAGCGTTCAAAATTATTATCTAAATTACATTAAATTTATTCTAATGAAATTGAAGCGACCTTTTATTAACAATATTCTTGGTCTTCAGATTGATTAATTAAATGTACAAACCGTTTTAAAATCAACATAGGATCCCCTTTACCTCCCCATGATACAATATAAATAAAGCCCATATTCTAAAATTTATCTATAGCATCCGTTTTACCAAAAGAAAATTCTCTCACTAAATTTTCTTTTGATATCAATAAATGACCTCCATCTTCTTATTTATCAACAAAATAGCCATTATAACCGTTATAAAGATGAACAGAAGCAGTGGTTCTATTTTATTTTACTTTGAACTCCTAGATTGATAACCATTAAATTTCACTAGCATTGCCTGCAAAAATGTAAGCATCAGTAAATCCCACCAAGAAATATGAGTTATTGTTCAAACTTTATGAAGATTTATAACTTTATTAGATATCTAATGCAAAATGAGGTGATTGGCTAGTTAGTATATAAGGCATCGTACTCAGCAATTAAATAAATATATTACTTCTCATTCTATTAATCAACTAAAAAGAATGTTTATTATTCATAAAATAGGCGTAATCCACATAAAAAGTTCTCCTCATTTAACGAGTAAATAGCTTAGATTAAAAAAATTATAAACATTATTATTATATAAATAATAAAATAGAAGTAAGGAATTCCATTTTAATAAGTTTTATTATGTATAGAATATCATAAATAATCATCTATTTTTAAAGTATAACTTTTTGATTTTAAACTTTAATTAAGATCATTTATAATCTGAGGTAATTTGAGAATGTATCACTCAATAATTTATTATGAATTGATAATAAATTCAATCTATTGTCTTAATAATGAATAAGATTCTTATAATTATAAAGATCTAAGGTTCATAATTATTCTTTTGATATTAACTAATTTATTTATATATGAATTAATTCAAGAATAGTAAATTAAATACTTTAGGATATGTCAGAAATTATCACTCTGATTTTGGTTCATCTAATATAATCAATCATACACTATATCATAAATATGCATCTTCTCAAAATTATTACTTCACAAAAGAAATTAATGATATTTTAAGTAAAAACAGAACTTCAGCAACAATTAAGTTTTATGTAACCAATTCATGAATAATTCAGGATGATATGTAATATTTAGAGAATGATGAATGTATGTCGAGAGTTTATTATTTTGATGATTACTATTCTAAAATTTAATTGCTGGTTGAGTTTTATAAATATCATCATGATTTGCCTAGATTTACTGTAGATGAAGAAATCATATAAATTTTGAATTTGTATTATGATAAAAAGAGGAAATTGGAGTATTATAAAATATAGAGATAAATAGAATATGAAAATTTAAAGAATCCTGATCAACCATAAAAAGGAATAGTTGGAGATAAACCTATTGAATCATAAAGTACTCCACAATCTGAGATTAATGGAGATTCTACCATAAACAATAATATAGAAAATATTCTTTAAGATGTTATTACCTAGTAGAAAAGCTAAAATTAAATTTCTCAATAAGATATAAGTTAAATTACAAAATTTTAGGATGACTAAAAGGGTGAAATTCAATAAATGCTTGATATTTTTAATTAGGGAAACTAAAAGAATACATAAAAATATTCATTTTAGAAAAATATTAGTCCATCTTTAAGTTAACATCATAAATTAAATGAATAGATAATATCTCATTCAAATCAAAAATAATACACTTAATAACATTAAAATTTTAGAATACCTTAAACAACAAAAAGATATCCATCTTCTTCTTTAAGTAGAAATTTGAAAACATCTTCCAATGAAAAAAAACTTGATAATAATTTTACTCATTTATTTAATAAGTGTCCCTAAAGAAAAAGAATAAAAATAGAAAATAAAAATGAAATCAAGAAAGATTTTAAGAAATCAGTCCCAGATATTAAATCTTTAGGAATAAGAATCTTAGCTTGTATGAATTAAATAGAAAAATATAAAATGAATACAAAATGTGTATCTTCACTAGATAATAAAGAATTACAAAAGATTTTATTTTCAGTTCATTAACCTGTATTCTCATCCAATATTAAATTATATAAAGGTTCATCAACTCAATCTATTAAAATATCTCAATAAATTAATACATAAGATGATTAAATAATTAATTAAAGCCCAATTAATTTTCATACTACTTAAACTCCAAGAACAAATTAGGATGGTTCTAAATTTTTCAAAAAATAATTCTTTGAGTAAAAATAAAAGGAAAATGCAAAGGTTTTAAGAAGACTTATGGTATATAAGAAGGATAATCTTATCAAAACTCAAAAAGATATACGCTTAATCCCAAAACTTAATCTTAATAGAATTAATAACTTGAATACTAATTCATGTTGTAATACACTTAGAATAAATGGATTCAATCAAAATATTGCTAACTAATTAACACCAAAATCTTTCACTTTTAGATCTAGAATCAATAATATAATAAGTTAGTAAATAAAAACAATGTAAAATAATTACATAAAAAACTCAATTAAACAATGATAATTTAAAATGTGTTATAAACAAATTAAATTTTGAAGGTATTAATAAAAATTATCATATATTCATAATAAAATTAAAATATTTTTTTAAAGTCATATAAAAATAATTAATTATTTTATTACTAGATTCTATAATTCAGAATCAAAATAATCTAAATTTCCTAAGTTATCCTAATAAAACTAATTTTATTATTAAATAATGATGAGATTATGATAATATTTGAGGATTAATAACCTAAACAATTTATTAAAGTTATTAAAGATTAAATAACTCTAAATTAATATAGAGCATAAAATGATTATAATTAAAAATAAAGGGACAGATTCAATCTATTTATCAATTCCTAATCCTCATTTGCTAAGACAAACAGTGTTTAATTTTTTAAAATTACAAAAAATATAAATCAATTATAAAATTCAAATTAAGATATTTCAAAATCATTATAATATTTTAATAACATAATTTCTTAAATCTAGGCTAATCTTCAATTAAATTTAACTCACATGGGGGAAAATTAAAATCCTGAATTTATTTAGTGTATTACATTTTAGTTTATTTTTATTTAAAAATAAAAAGAATTCCTAAAAAACTTATATGGATATCTTGTAAACAATTGAACAACTTTTGTATTTTAAACTATAAATCTTAAATTTTTAGAATCAGATTATTTTGAGGAATTAAATTTTTAATAAAAATCGCAAAACGTATAATCAATATAAGAAATTTTAAATTAACAAAATTTAATGTATATAATCAAAAATAAAAGAAAATGAGATTTAGAGAAAAAAAAAGGTAAAATAAAGTAAAATTATTTATATTATGCGTTTTCAGTATAATCCATAACTTAATAAATATTTAATTTTAATGTATATTTGATTTAATAAAGCATATATAGTCTTTAACTCATTCTTAATTTATTATATACTATTTAAATGAAGAATTTAAAATCTAACATGATTTAGAATACTTATGATGGTATACTTTTTATAAATTTGATTAGGAATTAATCTTAATATAATTTATTAAGTGTTATTATCAAACCAGTAGATTAATACCCTTATATTCATTATGATTTCTAATCTTTATATAATATAAATTTTAAGATATTAATATGGGTTCATGTTCTTCACAATAGATGAAATAATCAATGAAAGCTAAGATTTAAGAAGCTAAACAAAAATAATCATAAACAACTACTCCTAATAGGCAAACAACTAAATAAAATGGTATGAGATCACATTCTAGACACAATACATACACAGCATTTTAATCTAATAGTGATTTGAGTCAGCCAGGATAAAGTTTGAAAAACTTAAATTTCTTTCTGATATATAGAAATACAAATTTTTCTTCCTTTTACAGCTTACTCAAGAAAGAGGATAAAGAATTCCCTTTTACAACAATTTAACACAATAATGCTGGAACAGTGAGAATAATAAAGAGCTATAAAACTTCTGATTCTAAATACATAGCTTAATTACTCAAATATTAACTTGTATTATTTATATATATCTTAGCATCATCCTAACTTGATCTAATAATTTGAAATATATGAGGAATAATAAAAATATCATGTGGCTGAAGAGAATAACAATAAAATAGTAGTGTTGAATTAAAAAACATATAATGATGAAAAAGAAATAGCTTTTATTTTCAATTAAATAGTTGAGGTTATTGAATATTTACATCATTAAAAATTAACTCATGGACATTTAACTTTGGAATGTTTTGCTCTGTTTGGTGATAAATATATTAAGTTATATGATTTATTCCATTTGTTTATGAAGAAAAAGCCAACTCTAGAAGAAACACATTATTTACCACCAGAATATTTTGATAATCAAGAATATTCTGAAGAAAGAGATATTTGGTCTTTGGGAATAATTCTATATAATTTACTTTATCATTGTTCTCCATATGAATCTAACACAGCAAGTTTACTTAAATTAGATATATAAGCATCAAATATTTCATATTAAAATAAAATATCAGATGAGGCTATATCTATATTATAATAAATATTAGAAAAAAATCCAAAAAAAAGAATTAAAATAAGTGAAATTACAAAACATCCTTGGTTTAAAAAATAATAAGTTTTTTTAGAAGATGATCATATTAGAGAGACTTTGGAAAGATTAAGATAATCAAAGAAACTTAATATTTTATAAGTTTACTTGCTTAAATTTATTATTAATAATTATCCACCTGATAAATTAAGAGAAATATATTCTGTATTTAGATCACTTGATTTAGATAATGATGGATTTTTCAGTATTTCAGAGCTTATCACATCCTATTCTAATTATGTTGAAGATTCTGATAAGACTAAAACTATATGCACTAATATTTTTTAAAAGGTAGATATGGATAAGGATAAAAAAATTACTTTTGAAGAATTTATTTTGTATGCTTTTGATAGAAAAGAATTAATTGAAGAAGAAGTGATTGACACAAGTTTCAAATTATTAAAAAATAAAAAGAATTTTATTACTGCTGAAACATTAGCTACTTAATATACTTTAGATAAAGAATACTTTACAGAAATAATGACAGAAAATTTGAAAAAAGATTATGTATTATTTATCTTATAATTTAGATCACATTCTAAAACTTCAAGGATCTAATGAATAAAACAGTTTGATAGTAGAATTATAATTGAATAATATTTATGACTAAATTAAATAACCAATAATTTAATTCTTTTTAATTCTTTAAATTATAAATAAAGAAAATTAAAAAAAGTAAATTTTTAGTTACATAGATGATATAAATAATAATAAATTCAATCTAAGCAAATCATCCAGAGTGTTTTTAATAATTAATCTGCTGTTTTCCTTTTATCTACATCTCTTTCTAAACAACTTAACAACACCTCTTCAATCTCTTCATCAGATGATTAGATATGTAGATCTTATTTTTTTATTTTCATTTATAATTCTTTTTCTGTATGACCACTAAAAGGAAACTTATTAAACAATAAAGCGTAGAGTACAACTCCACAACTCCAAATATCTGTCAATTCATTGTATCTTGGATTTGGAGGAAGCATTTCTGGACTCATGTAAGAAGGAGTTCCATATGTTGTGTTAATATAACCATCTATTT